AAAGAATTTCTTCCTTATATCCAGTCTAAACCTACCCTGGTTTAGTTTAAAACCATTACCCCTTGTCCTGTCACAGCTGTCCCTACTAAAAAGATTTTCCCCATCTTTCCTGTAGGCCCCCTTTAAGTACTGAAAGGCCACAATAAGGTGTCCCTGCAGCCTTGTCTTTTCCAGGCTGAACATCCCCAACTCTCTGCCTGTCCTCATAAGAGAGGTGCTCCAGCCCTCGGATCATTTTTGTAGCCCTCCTCTGGACCCGCTCCAACACCAATGACTGATGAGACACTCATATGAGGTACAAATTATAAAGGACAAAGATTATGACACTGTTAAAGAAGTGGTGCTATATAACAGTTTATCGTCCGAGTCATAGAATCACAGAATGGCAAGGGTTGGAAGGGACCTCGGGAGATCATCCAGTCCAACCCCCCTGCTAAAGCAGGTTCTCCTAGAGCATGTTACACAGCACTTTGTCCAGGCGGGCTTTGAATATCTCCAGAGAAGGAGACTCCACAGCCCCCCTGGGCAGCCTGTTCCAGGGCTCCATCACCCTCAGAGTAAAGAAGTTTTTCCTCATATTCAACTGAAACCTCTTATGTTTCAGTTTGTACCCATTGCCCCTTGTATAAAAAAAAAAAGGGAGGCTTCTACTATCCCCCACATGGATTTATTAAATACCATATTAAGGTACGATACTGAGGTTAAATGTTTAGATGCTACAAATGACTGTTCTGCCTTGTACGGTTCTTTTAACACTCGTTATTGATCACAGTTGAATCAGAATACTAGATTAGATCAACCTTTAATCTGAGCCAGTTTATTATTTACTCACCCTCACGTGGCAGAGCTGTTCTGAAAACCCTGTAAATTCTTACTCAAAAAACTGGACTTTACACATACCAAAATCCTCCATGGCAAAGTCAGTTGCCAAAAGTGATTTAAAGAAACAAGCTCCAGCACAAATTTGTATAAACCAGATTCTGTGGTTGAAGCAGACAGGCTAGAATCCAGGTACTCTGCGGGAACACAGGCAAGATTACTGCTCTACAATGCACAAGATTTTGATTCAGAATCCTTTTCTTCTGTTGAACACGACATTCTAAATTACAAACAGAATAGTGCCAATACAGCTAATGGAAGAAGTGACAACAGGACCTAGTTAACTATCACTTTTAGAGTAACCATTGCATTAGTCACAGTTGTAGCAACGCTGACTGCACTGCGTGCAGACTCAAACAGCGCTCTGCCATGCTATTGAACACACCAGGCTCAGCCTCCCTGGCTCCTCCTGACCCCTCCTGCTTCACCCTTTGCTAGCGTTTCTCATTCCCCCACTTCCCCACGCAGATGCACGCCAGCACACCTCGCCTTCAACAGCCGAGCAGGCTTAGGAGCTGGCTCCCAGGCAGCCTACGGCCCTTCCCTGGCAGGGGCTCAGGCCCTTTGCTACCCGCTGCACCATGACGACTGCACCTCCGTCACCCTTACACCCTGCTGCCCTCAGCCCTGCTCCAGCCCACAGCTGCAGGCAGATCCGTGTTTTCCGTCGATTTCGGATTTATTTCAGAGGGAAGCAAGCCCAGCTTTGCCAGCCACTGGGCTCACCCCCTAACCCAAGAGCACCCAGCCAGCCGGTCAGCCAGGGGCTGCCCCGTGGCCTTGTGCCGCTTTCTGCCCAGCCCAGTCCCCAGAGCCCGCAGCCAAGGGGTGCTGAGTACCGAGGGCAAACGACACTGATGTGCGGACACAGACTCCCCAGTCTGTAAGACTGTACCGTAGGTATGTTTATGCAGCGCTGGGCAGCACGGGGGGCAGTCCCACCAAGGTCATGTGCGCCGCAACACGGCAGCTTGTCCTGTTTATATGTAGCAAAGTGTTACATATACATGAAGTTTCCCAATATGCCTATACATAGGCATAACCTGTCCCCACTTTGTATTAAAATTAGTTTCAAGAGGTCATTTAGACTAGATATAAGGAAGAAATTCTTTACAATGAGGGTGGTGAAACACTGGAACAGGTTGCCCAGAGAGGTGGTGGAGGCCCCATCCCTGGGAACATTCCAGGCCAGGTTGGA